TTCAGATAAAACAGGGGTCATTGTAATTGGCCCTAATACCCTTTACTTAATCTGGATGACATTATTTTGGCCTCCAGTGAGGAATCTTGGTGTCATTTCTGTCCACCAGTGCACATATTATACAAATATTTAGGACTGCTTTCTTGTGCACAACATCTCTAAAATAAAAAAACATCCTGTTTTGGAGTGATGCTGAAAAACTAGTTCATGCATTTATTACTTCCAGCCTGCACTATTGTAACTGATTCCTATCATGATGTCCTAAAAACTCCCAGAAAAGCCAACAAAGGCTAGAAAGAGATAGCATATTGGCTTCTCTTCATTGGCTCCCTGGTAAATCCAAAACTCAATTTAATGTCCTTGCCTTCACATAAAAGGTCTTGAATAATCAGGCGTCATCTTATCTCAGAGATCTCGTAGTACTGTATAGACCACTTTGCTCTCAGACTGCTGGTCTATTTGTGGTTCCTATGGTATTTAAAGGCTTTCAAGCCCCTCTGAAAGCAAACCCAGTCTCTCAACAAACAAACTTAACTGGATCTTCCTTTATTCGCAAAACACTGAGGCTTAGCTTAGCAAACAAAAATCTAACTAACATAGTGAAATAATGAAGTAGGGAATTTAGCAAAAGTGCATTCCTATTGAAGACTGAAAGTTAAATTTGCTTCAGTTTAAATAAGGATGATGTTCTGCATCCTCATAAAGGCGAATGCAACAGGCGGAGGCGGTCACGTCCAGATGGTTCAGAGGGCTGTGAAGACTTTGACCTTCAGGTCTCTGTGCTTCCCTGATTTGATCAAGTCCCGTGGTGTGGACAGTAAGGAGGAACTGCCCACCTACTTCTACAGGGATGATGGCTACAAGGTGTGGGAGGCTACCAAGAGGTGAGGAATGACTTTTTAAAGTTTTAGCACAGAGCACTGAGAAAGGAGTGAGGGCAGTTGTAAGAAAGAACAAACAGCGAGAGGTGTAGGAAGATTTCTACCCTTGTGTGTGTGTGTGCTTCAAATAAGAGAAGTTACAGCATTTTTTTCCCTCTGTACGTGACATGACATCCGTTTTCTTCCCCACAGGTTTGTGTCTGATGTTGTGAATATTTATTACACAAGCGATGAGAGCGTGCAGGGAGATGAAGAAATCCAGGCCTTTGTTAAAGATGTGTGCAGCTTCGGTATGCAGGACCTGGATTACTGCGGTAGGTAGAGGAGTTGTTTTGCGTGAGGTTTCTTTTGCTAATGCAGCATCGAGCAAAATACACCACCCAACCATCCATTCAGACTTTTTCTCAAGGAGAAAAGATGCTTGCTCTCCTACTCTGGTGTTTTCTGGAAGACAGGTATGACAGGAAACAGACAGCATTATAAATTCAAATCTGCTCTCTTATGGATGAATAGTTTAAGGGTGAAGGAGGGAAGCTACAGCAGTCTGATTGTGTCACTCCCTGAGTCCTGATGTTGTAATGCTTCTGCATTTCACCACGCTTGTCTATTCTGAGTGCAATGTGCAGAGATAGACTTGCAAAAGAAAAAAGCGGTGGAAAAAAAAAGAAAGAAAAAAGCTTGGAGCTCATTTTGTCGATTCTATGTTCCCACTTTCGTGCATAGAGTTTCCCAAGTCCGTGAAGACACGCGAGGAACTGATAGAGTACCTGACCGTTATTATCTTCACTGCCTCAGCCCAGCATGCAGCTGTCAACTTCGGACAGGTAAATGGAGGCGTGTCTAGAAGTGGAAATTCATTGATTTTTAAGTCAAAAAGTACCTACTTAAAGTAAAAAATGTCAGAAATATTAGAAAAAAACACTTGCTACTGCAGAAGTTTCATTAATACAGAAAAACGTTTTTGTACACTGTTCCTACTGAAGCATCAGTGTGTGCATTTAAAACCCGCAGCAAAGTTTTCCTGCTGCAGCCGATTGAGGTGAAACTAGTGGTGACTACGTTTCCTACAGCAGTGGTTGTTACTCTTTTTGGTAAAAAATAACGCCCAATAAACACAACAACATTAACAAGCACACACATTTCGAGCACACACATTCTGTAGACATAGATATAGACATGAAAACTTGATGATTTTTTTTTTGAAGTTTTGTTTTTTATTTCTCTTGTTATTTCAGTTATATTTGCATGTTCGAAATAATTCTATCTATCAATAATATTTAAGCTTAAGCTATCCTAAGAGAGTGGCAGCCAAGAGAACTAAAGGTCACATAAGGTCGGCAGTTCGATCCCTGGCTTCTGCTAATCATTTGGCATGATACTGCATCCACTGTGTGTGTGTGTGTGTGTGTGTGTGTGTGTGTGTGAGAGATAGATACAGTAAAGCTATGAATCTGTGAGTGAATGTGGCTTTTGTCAGGGGACATGTGGCAGTAACTTCACCCTGAGAGAATTATGTTTTACATGGTAATTGAACCTATAACTCCCTTTATTCTCTGGTCATCCATGTGTTTTCAGTATTTTATATATGTATATTTATATTTGTATGGGGTCTGCCTACAAAAAGTCTGTTTAATATAAAATCTTAAACCTTTTATGCAGCTATTAATTCCACATGTAATATGCGGTGCAGTATTTTCTTATGAAATCTAAAAGTAAAATTAGAAAGCAGAAGAAGATGAAAGATTTTGCTCGGTATTAAATCTGGCCCTGCTTTATACAGGCCTTTATTATTAAAGTACATAAAACAATATAATCAGAAAATAAGTACTAAGAATATATATTTATTCTTTAATATTTATTCTTTAACATCAGACTTGTACTGTTGTACAGCACTTGGGTAAATGCACACACTGTATCTTTGTGTACATTGTGTAGTATGACTGGTGTTCCTGGATCCCCAATGCTCCATCTACCATGCGGAAACCCCCACCCAACAAGAAAGGTCTGGCCAATGTGAATTTGATCGTTGAGAGCCTTCCTGATCGCGGGCGCTCCAGCTGGCACCTGGGGGCCGTCTGGGCCCTCAGCCAATACCAAGAGAATGAAGTAGGAAAAGCACACAGACAACCGTTCGAACACTTTCAAATCTCAGCACAGACACACCTCCAAAACAATCAAAAGTTTGATACATTTGGTACATTTCTCATTTCCCAAGATGCTCTCCTCTGCTTCAGAATGTACTTCTTTTTTCCTTCCTTTTTCCTTGTGGCCTTCCTCCAGGCTAAAAAACCTATCACCTCTCACTCTTTCTGCAGTTGTACCTGGGAATGTATCCTGATGAGCACTTCACAGAGAAACCGGTGAAGGATGCCATGGCAAAGTTCAGGAAGGAGCTGGCAGAGATAACCAGCTCCATCAAGAAGAGGAATGAGGGAAAGAAGCTACCATACTACAACATGTCTCCTGACAAAATCCCAAACAGTGTTGCAGTTTGAGAATTCAAACAAGACTAATTTAGTGGAGAGGCTCATACTTATACATACAGATTGAAGATTGATGATGTTACCGAGCTGTCCAGATATGCTCTATGTTACCTATGATTGGGATATTTCTGTGGAAGCGGTTTCTTTTTAATCTTGTGCATCTTGAAAAATCGGAATATTTTGAAGGTTTTTATTGTAATAATTCAAGAAGATAAACTTTCATATAATCTACATTCATTATACGTAAAGTGAACATTAAAAAAACGCTTTAATTATGCTGGTTATGGTCAAAAATCCAGGGTCCCAAATTATTTGAATATTTCCTGAAATGAATCAAAATTGCTGAGGTGTTTTTGACAGCAGCTTTTAGCTTGTGTTCCTTTTTGAGTCCGGTGTTTCTCATCTAACTGTGACTATATACCCCACACATTCTCTCTGTAGTCCAGGTCAGGTGAGCTGGTTGGCCAATCAAACACAATAATAATAATAATAATATGGTCAGAAAAAACATCTGGTAATTATTTTGGCACTGTGGGCAGATGCTAAGCTTCATGCCGGAAAATGAAATCAGTATCTCCATAAAGCCTCTCAGCAAAAGGAAACGTGAAGCTCTAAAATATCCTGGTAGATGCCTGTGTTGACTTTGGACTTGATGAATCTCAGTGGACCAACCACCAGTAACTACCAGCACCTCGCATCATCACAGATTCCAGAAAGTTCACACTAGAATTCAAACACCTGTGCCTCTCCAGTCTCGTACTTTGATAGAAAATGTACTTCATCTGAAATAAGCAGCAGTTCACTTCCTTCTCTCCTTAGCTCATGTAAGATGCTTCTGACAGAAATGACCTGATGTTACGGATGTGGGTCCTTTCCTAAGGATGTCTCTCCTGCAGTCCTTGTGAAGTTCTCCCAAATTCTTGAATCGACTTCTCCTGATAATCCTCTCAAGGCTGCTGCTTGTGCACCTTTTCCCTGTCCAGTCAACTTCCTGCTGTTATGCTTTGATACAGCGTCTGTGAGCAGCCAGCCTTTTCAGCAGTGTGGCTCTCCTTTAGGAGGGTGTTGGCAATCTTCATCTGGACAACTGACCAATCAGCAGTAGAACTACACCGCCGAAGATATGTTGTTTAATCATTATGTTTGAATAGTAATTTATGCAAGCAATATTCTAATTTGTGAGAATTAGTGTGTGATTAATATAGAATATGTGAAAGTTTACCTTTTTCAATCACAAAAAAAGAGTTTTTGAGAGTTATTTTTTAAAGATCCACGGGTACATATTGTGTTGCCTTCATTCACTCAAACGATGGTGTCTTTCCTCATCTTGCCCTTGCATAACAATTACTTAAGAGGTTGAGAGAAGGTGACAAACCGTGTTTTCTGCTATATGCTGAATGTGAAGTTTGTATTTCTGTCATAGAAAAGTTTTAGGGCAAGATCATTGAGCGGCGAGCTGAACGTTTCTGTCGCTGGCATTACAGCTTCTGGCTAAAGAGCTGATTTCAAAATGATTTGCAGCTTATTTGGGTGAAAATAAATTAAAGTGCTACAGCGCAACGCCCTTTGAAATGTTTTTAATTATCCATTAAGACTGTATTTGTCCCTGCTTGTTTTTTTTTTAAAAGTCACAAAGTTTTAAAAGTCACTTAATTTTTTATTTGGTTGTTCTTTTAATTACTACATATTTTGTTCAAACGTGGGAAATTAACTGAAAGCACATCAACATTTTTCATAAAAACAAAAAAGTACATTTTACCAAATTCTTTACAGTTACTATTTCAAAGCAAATTCACAGACAGACTTGCGGAATGGTATAAGACAGGGGAACAGTCATATATGTTCAAGTCCAGTCAGTAGTAAACAAATGTAGCTTTTATGCAAGTTACACTAGTCCCAGACATGATCAAATTTTAGTCACCAGGTAATCAACAGACAGCCTAAAATAGTGAGGCTGAGAAGAGTCTCAGTTGATGTTCTGCTCCGTGGGATTATGGACGTAAAGGGTGAGTGACGCAAAGACGGTAAAGAGGATAAGATGTTCAGAGAGGAAACAATCCAAAGCCATCACACTAGAACAAAACTCCTCTCATATTTCATTGAAGGAGCCAGCTCCTATGGGTAGAAAGTAAAAAGACACCACAATCAATTTAAAAACTAAAAAAGGACTGAAGCTTTGAGCAACTCTATTATCTGAATGACTACATGCAAAACAAGGGCTGAAAATAATTTTCTTCTATTAGTGTCTGGGAAGAAAAATTAAGTGTAAGTTGCATAAAATTCACTAATGAAAGGGTCTTTTTTGTGTGTAAATGAACAAAAATATGCTGTTTTCAGTTAAAAATAAATACAACACAATATAAAGAAAGTAATTTTCTATCCAGAGGACATCCTGGACTTTAAACACCGGTACATAATTGCAGAACAGAACATCAACAAAAGGGTAATTGCACTTTTTAAAAAATAAAATCTGTCTAATTGCACTGAGCCTCCCGGGTACTGAAGAATCTGAGATGGTTCTCATTACTAGGTCTTAATCCAACTTGACACACAACAAGTCCCTCGGCTCATTTATGTATTAAAATTATATTAAACTCCAGATCTCAAGTCTCCGTGGGGCATATACATAAATACAGTATGCAAATAACACAAAACAAAAAAACCCCCAAAGCGCTTTATTGCTGCTGCTGAGCAGTAATTGTCAGGTACGTTGTTGGACCATCATTGTTCACATACAGTATACTGGTATCAAATACAGTTTTTGAAAAATGTGTGTGTTGCTGGAATGGCTGTAAGGCTCAACATGAGCCTGGGCATTGCTGTGCTCTCACATAGACAAACGCACTTACAATGACTGTGAGCCCCCCCCCAGAAAAAACACCCACTTCGACCTGAGAAATCAACCGCTGCCCATCTCAGGCTGCACCTTCACTTTAACACCAGCAGATGGCGGTACAGTCAGCTCCTCAAAAAGCAATGATGCACATCGACTCTGTCACAACCATAAATAAGCAGCTGTATTGCATTGATTTTATTAAAAGAAACTGAGTTTTTCTGAACGTAATGAGCAGCAGTGAAATGTTACACTGACTTCAAAGTCATTCTTAATGCTTAACTGTGGAGTAAACGTGGCAAAAAAAGGTGTTTTTTAAGCCAGAAATCAGTTGGCTGTCTTGTGATCGAATACTAAAGTAGACCAACATGTAAGAGAGCGAAAACAAATAAAATACACTTACACCGAGTACTCATCTGAAATGCTCACTAAGAATCCTTTCACACTTCCACCTTAATCTTGCTTAATTAAGTGAAAAGATTAAGTGTGGCTGGATTGTAACCATGCAAAAAAACAGGGTAGGAGCTAAAGCATGTTTCTTTTTTGTAGTTAAAACCTTTGGTTAAAGTTCAGTGGACAAACTGAAAGTAGGCAGCTGTGGATTCCTCGAGGCTTGTCCCATGGCTAAGCAAGCGAGTTAACATGTTAAAAACTGTAAATACCTATTAAAAACAAACAAACAAAGAAAACAAAACACAAGCGCGACGTTGTTTATGCCCGAAGGGCCTCATTATGATCGAGACAAAGCGCAATTTCCCAGTAAAAAAATGATTTTTTTTTTTCATTTTATAAATTTTTTGAAATCATTTTTAAAAAGATTACATTCTCAAAGCCTTCAGAAAGTTCACCATGGGGTACAGAAGTCAAGTGGCTAGATTTTCCATCATCTGAATCAAAGTTATGCAACTGACGTCGTTCAAATGACTCATTTTTTTTTAACCCCAAATCCTTTTAGTCATCCACAGAAGGATTAATCTTTAAGCATATGTTGCACTTGAAGAAAAGTTTGTTTGCTCTCCCCCATTTACAACGTACAAGATACAAGAAAAAAAAAAAAGAGGGGGCAATGAGAAGAAGGGGTGGGATGTGCTTTGGGGACTAAAAAATAAAAAGTGCTTTGATGCATCTTCGGATCCAGGTCTCGCTGGATCCAGACCGCGTGGAGCTGACAGACCGCAGAGATGGCAGTATCTGGAATGTTCCAGAGATCTTGATGCATGGCGCTACATACTGATCCATGGCAGGTTAGCCCGACACTCACAGGAGGTAAAAAAAAGAACAGATTGATCAAAACCCACAAACAAACCACACATCGGGGACCTGTAGACCTCCAGAGCCATTTGCAAGTCCATTCTTTTCAGTCCAGCTCTCCCAGAGGTGTACATTAAAGAGTCTGTGTGTGTGTGTGTGTGTGTGTGTGTGTGTGTGTGTGTGTGTGTATACAGAGTGGTTTGCACCAGGCCTCTTCCAACATTTACAGAAGTCAGTGTAAAGAGTCTGTTCCTGGGAAAGGAAAAGATGCAGGTGGAGGGAGGAATACAGTGTGATAGGAGGAATGTAGGCAGAGGGAAGCTCATGGCCTCTCTGTCTTTGTGGATGGAGTTTAGGGAGTATAAGGTGATAGTGGAGGACGTGGGTCATTCTGGCTTCAGGGAAAAGGGTACGGTTGTTCCTCAGTGACCGATCACGACTGTTCCTCTCCTCTGCGGGCCTGTTTGGGTGTGGAGTATGTGCACGACAACCAATGGCACAGACTCTGTTGTCAGACATGAAGCACCTCCATACTGTAGTCCTCTGTTTCCGTGTACTGGGAGGAGTTTGTGTCTGACAGATTGGGGGCCAGAGCCTCTTTGTTCTCCAGACTCGGCTCCATTAGGGGGGGCTTCTCCAGTGGATACTTTTTATATGTCTCTGGACGGTTCTGCACATATATGACCCGGTTATACGCCTTGAGTCTCCTCCATAGATGGATGTAGACTTTGCACTGGACGTACATGAAAACCAGTCCACCTGTAAATCCGATGGCCACCACCACAAGCTTGGTCCAGAAAGGCCATTCCAGGATTCCTGAGGAACAGAGAACAGACAAAAAATAAATAAATACATAAATATCAACAAGTGGACAAGTCAAACACAGAGAAGACTGTTTATAAGCTGCTGCAAATTCATCACATTTCAGTGAATTGTTCAACAGATCATCCTTTAACTAGAATATGCATTAGCAGTGAGGATATCCGCTGCAGGAAACTGTGTCTCCCATTCCTCTATACTGCAAATAGACACTATTATTACAAATTGCCCAGTGTGCTCTACTTTTTCAAACAAGATCTTAACAATTTACTGATAGAGATTTGCCTTTTTTTAAAAGTCAAATTTGTACAGGATTAAAGTCAAAGTCCTGAGCATGGAGAGACGCATGTGATAGCGAGCATCCTGTCATATTTCTATGGTAATGCAATGTGGGTGGGGCCAGTCAATGGGATAAAAGTCAATTATTAAGTTATCTTTTCAGATATGCTATATTGTTTGCATTGTGGCAGCTGACACTAACATTTAGTTTATTGTGCATTAATTTACACACTGCTCAAAAATGTGAAGGAAATTAAGGAAGCAGAAACCACTGTGATTTCACCTATTCTGGCATAAATGAAACTAACAGGTGCAATGGAGAGGCAACAACAAACAAGTCAACCCCCCAAAAAAGGGGAAGCATGAGTAGCCACAATAGTTGTTGCTCCTCAGAAAAAGGTGCAGGTACCAGGTGTGCTCCTGGGTTGAAGCCCTTATACGGCCCTCTCCAGCTCTCCGTGTGCAATGGCTCATCTCCTCCACACTGTTGAGACTTCAGATATTTAAGTAACTAAATGATCTGAAATTCTTATCTGGTTCTACAACCTATACACATCTCTCAGCTGACTGCTTTTTAGAAACTCTCTTATATTATTATATCCATATTACCCATCCATACTGCAGTGCAGACTTTTCACAATTTACAGACATGGTGTTCAAAATTGAATTGCCCAATTAGACGAACAGAAACAAAGAAACAGGGGGATAAATGGTGGCACCCTGCTGCAACATTTCTACTTCATGATAGGCTGGGAGCCTTTGGTACAAAAAATGAACAAACAAATGACTCTTTTAAAAGTGGAAACACTGCCAAAAAAGGTGCATCTGTCTATGCAAAACGCTTAGCATTAATGTGATATGCAGTTAATTAGGCAAAGTACATTTCTGTAACTCCAGGGGTAATTATAACACCCTTGCAAAAAGCAGAAATCAAAGAAGAGGATATAAATTAGCAATTTCTGGGACATATAAATATTTGTAATAAGCCTCAGTGCTCTCTAAAACAAATAATAAGAGGCAGCGAAAGTACTCAAAAATGCCCGAAACCCATCCGTTTCTTCATATTGGCTACCATAACAGCTAGTTTAAGATATAAAAGTGCCTCATATGAGGAATGCCAATTCAAAGAAGGCAAACATAATATAACCAGTGTGGTATTAACTATGCTGGACAGAGATGTCAGGGGCTTTCTATCTAGCATTATGAGAAGCGATTAATGTGTCATTTGTTGTGTGAGAATATGTCAGCGAGGTTCATTTTAATCAAAGCCTTCAGCCACAAAGTATAACACAGAAAATAAATCACAGCATGTTCCTCAGCTTTGTCTGTCTGTGTTCATTAGGCGGAAACATTCAGGGAGGTGGTGTGAATATAACCAGCCTTAAAGGATGAAGTACGATTATTTCTACTCGGATATCAAAGAAGAAAAGGGAATGAAAAGGACGTAAAGAGTGGCTGAAAAAAGGACTTGGTACAGAAGGGAGGGAGAAGACACAATGTGAAAGTCAAAAGGTCAAAGTTGAAATGTTTACCTGGGACTCTTCCGGCTGCATGGGTAAAGAGTGTAAGTATCATGTATTACAAAAGACGTACAAACAGATTGAAAGAAAAGGCAGAAATTAAAAACGATGTCAGATATTACATTTACACAATTTCATCATGCAATCAACATCAGCTCTGTTCCACAATCATACATGGAGAAGAAACGTCAAGATGTTTACATCCATCTTTCCTTTTATTTTGAGAGCGAATCTAGAAGAAAAATAAATGGCCGTGGTTCTGTGAGGCAGCAGACAAGCAGGACTATTTGGCATCACCATGGTGACTGGACCTGACAGCCCTCAGGGACTGTAGCAAGTCTGAATCATCAGGTTGGGCTTAACAGGCACAGCCTGCTCTTCCATCTGTACACAGTTTTGAAAGTGCCAAATATGCCAGGGAGGGATGAGTAGCAGCAGAGGTAGTGCCAGCTGATGCTACAACAAGTCACCATTACAGGAGCATTCTCCATTTTTATCCCTGATGATGGGAGCCCAAAGTGGATGCCCACTTTTTATGGCTGTAAGAAGCAGCTCAGGGAGCCCAGTGTTATTTTCCTCTTATTCTGAGATTTGAATGAAAAACCATAAAGCCCTGCTTGTTGGACATTTTTACTATAGCCAGCAGCAGGTACCAGTTTGGCACACGCATAAAACTGGAAAAAGCTAGAGGCAAAATCTGAAATATTGCGATGGAAGAAAGCAGTCACCCTTTTCAATAAATATAAAAATGTAAACATAAATGCTGTGCTCAGAAAACTGCACACCTTGAAGGAATTGTATTTCAGATCAATACCACTCATGTTTGTAAGCTACATAAAGCATGAGTGGCCAGTTAGCTTTCCTCAAAAGTAACAAAATCACGCTATAAGCACCACAAACTCACTTATTTGTCATTTTGATGTGTTCAGATCAACGGTCCCTTTTTAGCCTTAGATAATAAGTTATCTAAGTCCATAGACTGTATATAAAAGAAGGCTGTAGCTACCAGGTCTGAAGCGGAAGCCCTTTGAATATGTAAATAACCTGCAATAAAGACTGAATTCAGCAAATATAGACAGACAGATGTGCTTCATAATGATAAATAAGCAGGCCTCCAAATAACACACAGCCTAAAGGTTTTTATCTATTTCAAATATTATGATGTCATCATGTTGTCAGGCACCTCCTAGCAACAGGCTAAAGTCACTTGTTTATGTACCTATGACACCTCAAGAAAATATCTTGTCGTTTTCATTTTACATCAATTGAAAAATTATACTCCTAAAAGTCGACTTATATATGGCAAATTACAACGTCATCATGTTGCCAAGCAACCACCCACCAATGGGATAAAATCAGCCATTTAAAGTGTCACGTTATTCTAATTTTACCAACAACAATATGGACAGGCCAAACAATAGTGTAGCGTGGGTCTATACTAGTATTTAAAGAAAAATTTGTATGAGCTATGAAAAATAAGGGCAACGCACAAGTACCGTCTTTCTAGTGGCCGACAGTGGTCGACTCCTGTGCTTGCAAAAAGAAGTTCATAAGAAAAATCACCCTATGGTAAATCATTTCCATATCCTTGTCACTTCAGTGACGTAAAGCATTGCGTGTGATGTGTAGTCAGCTGTTGCATCCAATTTTTTGCCACAAACACGCATGTGCCAAACTCATACTAGCTGCTGCTGTCACACAGCTGTCATGCCACTCACATCACACATATATGCTAAAAAAATTCCAGACTTTGCACACTATTCCTGTCTGGTTATTTTGCTGAGTACAGTTTTTCTTTTACAGTCAGATTAACCACAAACTAACCTTCGACACACAAAAACAGCATCACTTAAAAAAAAATTGCCTCACTTAAACTAAAACAATCTCTAAAAGTGTCAAAGAATGAGATGAATATTTTTGAGTGCTAGTCACAACTTGGAGACAATTGTGGATGAATAGATAACATCCAAAACAAACATGTACCACAGACGATGTTGTATTAATGTTTTAGTGTTTGTTTGGGTGCGTGAGAGTCAGTGCTGACCTGATTTGATTTCCTCTGCTGTTCTGTCGATGAGAACGTAGAGGGACCACACCACACAGGTGATGGCGATGATGTGGAAGGTGACTGAACACATGATCTTTCTTCTCTCGCTCGCCGTCATCTGTAGTTTCTCCCACTGCCAAAGATGGAAGACTTTTGAGCATATTCACACACATTTAAAAAAAAATAAAAATAAAAAAAGAAACATGCTTTCAAACTAAGCAGAGCCTCTATGGCTGAAAACTAAAGCCAAAGATCAAATTCCTCTAATGGCCAGTCGAAACTGGCTCCAAAGTGAGCCAATCCCCTAAAACTCCTACACTGAAATGCCAATTTTCAGTCATAAAAACATGTTTCCATTCTGCTACAAAAACTGTTTTCATCTCTACAGACAGTCTGTCTGAAATGTTCATGTTCCAGCTTTGGTTAGTGAAATTCTATTTCCTTTGATTAGTCTGTTAGTTAGCACCAATTAGCAGATATATACGTCTCTGTATTGCACCTCCACAACTGATGAATGCAGCCTGCTAAAAAGGCTTGCTAGCATAAGATGACAGCACTCTACCCTTTGATCTAAATATGGCTACTTATGCAAGGCCATTCAAAACAAAACAAAACAAATAAACAACCACAAAAAACAGGACGGCAGCCTTGATGGCAAAGTTAAGGGAGGTGAAGGTGGCATCATCCATCTTTTATATACAGTTTTTGTTTGAAACACTAAAATCAGGGTGGTAGCCTCCTTGTGGTTAGAAACAAGTGGTTGCCCAGAGGTTTATCAAGTAACACCTTTAACTTCTGGGCGAAGAACTGTTGACAAGGCAACTCGTCTCCCAACAATCACGATCTGACTCAGGCTGACTGCAATCACAGGCTGGTGAAGGTTTGCAAATCACTGCTGTATTATTTATAATCTGAGTCGGTCTGCATGGATGAGCGCAACTCGCCTGAATCTGATCACTTAGCAGCGGACTCGACTGGTTGCATTCTGGCTATACTCCTGTATAACATCGAGATGCTGTTTGTGGAGGAATTTCTGTTTCAGATCTAAGCAATTTCGTGTTTGAATTTCTGTGTATGTAGACAGCAGCAGATTTGGTTAATTGCCGTATTAATACATATAGATTGCATGCAATAGGCAGCTTGGTCCCATGCTTATTGGAGTTTTATCACTTCGAAGATGGCAACTGATTGCAACTGGTTGCCGACCTGGTCCCCGTCTTCAGAGCAGCCATTTCGACAGCCACAAGATTGCAAGTTCATTGCACACAATCGCAATAAATTTTGGTTGTGCTGCAGTCTTCACCTACTGTTTTTCCCAGATGTGAAAGTACCATAAAGGCCTTTTTTATTCAGCTCCTGTCAGCAAAATCCAGTGTTACACAATGCTTCCTGGCAGGGTTAATGAGATAGAGAAGAGCATGGCATGCAGCATCCAGGTGATATACCCTGCTACCTGCCAGGAAGCTCAGATAACTGTGGAGCACCTGGTCAATCATTGGCTGCACTAAAATAAATGCCAGAAATCTGCCCAGCACTAAAAAGAAATCACATGATATCTGTACTGTCAGATAGCTTTGTGTAGCTTTCCCAAACATCCAAATCCATAATAATGAATTCAGTGATGAATAATTGCAGGGTCACTTTAATAAGACGCGGGTGTTGCCGAACAACATGACATCAAGCACTCTTTAATAAAAACTTTCATACTGACAACAACATCCGCCTCTCATCTCAAATTTCCTTGTGCACTCACACATGAACAACTTCAATATTCACCCATGGGATTCGGAAGCTATTAACAGCAGAGCATTTGTTTAAGGCCTTTTGTGCAGCTAATGAAGGGTGGAGGAATTTTAATTAGAGTGTCCTGCTATCTTCAGGCCACAGTGATTGATAAGAGCCTTTCAGGAACGTGGACTGCCTCTAAACCACTGAAAGGGATCACAACCACCCGGACAAGTGGTTTGCTTATGAAAATGGCTTATTGTGCTCTTGTGTCTGCACGACAAGACTGGAGATAGTTTTTTGGTATTTTTCGCTTCACAACAAAGGAGTGATGTGAGCTAAGTTAGGACGCAGAGACAAGACTGTGACTTTAATAACTGAGGCTGAACTGCTTAACAGCCAAATATGCACACACCTAACCAGCTTACCTTGCGCAGTGGTTTGAGTTTAGTCTCCATGATGAACTCGTATTTACACAGCTCACAGCAACGAGTGTCAGAGCTCTTGATCCACTGCTGTAGACAGGACTGGTGGACAAAGCGCAAGCTCCCTGTGCAGTGGCATGGTGTGATCAGAGGGCTCTCGTCATCCCCTTCGCAGTGACAAATCCTGCGGGAGGCAGAGAATACAGTGAACACTAAGCCACAGGCTAGACAGCTAGTAACAGGAGCAAGATGGGAGAGAGGGGAAAGATCAAAACGGGAAAAGTTGGCAGGCGAAGGCGACACACTGAGAAAACTTGGGAGTTGTGTAATATAAGACTGCACGTCAGCAAAGCTGCAGTAGCATCGCCAAGAGCACAATATGCAACTGATTTTTCCACACCTACAACAGCTTTAGGTAAACAGGTGAGAATATGATTTCACAAACAGAGAAAACAAAATTAACACCCTTGTCACAGCAGAGAATTCATGTCCCACATGAGTAAACCCAGTAAAGACAAACTAAATAGATTCATTTGCAAGTCCAAACAACATTTTGAGAAACTCATCTCCTGCGTTTTTTGTGTTTCCGTGCAAAACTGAACACTTTTAATGTCATTTCGCTCTGTAGCTGTACAGCACTGAGTTTCATTGTCAGACAAGAGGTAATAAATGTTATAAATATGTGAGTTTTTTAATTACTGTAATACAGTCCATGACAAATACGTCTGTTTGTGTATCGCTGCAATGCTGCAATGCACTGCTACGAACGCTGATGAAGGCTGACGTGCCTTGGAGTTGTTGCACTTTTAACACCTAACAAATGTTGGCCAAAAAATAACCACATGAACACGATATTCGTTAAAAATACTACAGGAAGCAGCTATATTCTCTTTAACAGGTGTTTGTGATGCTGTGTCCAGTCCCCGTAGATGCCTGGAAAGCCTCGAGTACAGACACCGACAGCTGGAACATTCGATTAGGCGTCTGTTGCCTCTAATGACTGCTGGACAGTCTGTTGTCAGTGAGAGGAACCAATCACTTTTCCAATAGACTGACTTGAAGGAGTCCACCACTCCAACATCACACACATCAGATGCTATCTGATAGGATGGAGGATGTATGGAGGAGTATGTTTGTCCGAATCTTTCCACTCAGTGAAAGGCAGATTGATGGGCAGTCTGAGCAAATCCAGACTATGTGGACACTTTCACCTGCACGATAGTCAGGATCTGTCAGTTTTAGTGGTGAGAGGAGGTTACATCACACGCCATGCCTTACTTGAGAAAGTAGAAAATTATTATGATCTTAGACTTCAATGTCAGGACATCGACTTTGTTGTGGTTTTTCAGATTACAGTCCTCAGTGAATAACCAATAAGCACCAAAATCAGGCTGCTTGTTAGACCACAACATGACATTGATTAAAAGCCGGACTGATGACTACCAGGGTGCCTGATAAAGGGGTTAAAGGTGTTGTAGCTTAAAAAGCAAATAATACCTTAAATGGGTACAGAATACACAAAGCAGGGCACATGTTCTATTAATCTATTTTTCAAATACATTTTGTTCCCTACAGATTTCACAGGCAGTAAGATCAATAATCCAGGAACGTCTTCTGTGATGCTTTCTTCTCCTGAGTGGGTAGCGAGGAGCAATGGCATGTCTTTATGGGCTGGAAGATGCAAGCAAACAAAGCGTGGCGAAGACGAGGTGGAGGAGGAGGAGGAGGCGGAGAGAGCCGGGTGTTCAGATGGGATTGTCTTTATCCCGGTTCATGGAAGGATAACAACATGAAGGAACACATGCACGCCCACGTATGCGTTCACACATGTTAGAAAAGGGAGCACACGAGATGACGTCTATTTCAAGACTTTGCTGAACTGGCCAGTGTTACAAGATTAAAAGACAAAGTGAACAAAGGTGGATAAAAATAGGTCATATCCAAAGGTTCTTAAGCAGAGGAGGTGGAAGAAGTGGAATAAGGCCTGGGGGATTAAAGGAAAGGCGAGACACAATCGACATCACTAGAATAAGTTTTTTGTTGTTGTTGTTTTTGATTATGGATAGACTGCTTTGTTTGTGTTCATTTGCATGCATAACGAGATGATGAACTGCAGATTCTCATCCCACACATACTGTATTTCTATTTCAATTTAAAAAAAGAAAAGCCAGAGGAAGTAGATCATTTGGTGCTTATATCAACGATTTCTGTCTGCTGAAATAAACAGATCTGACAAATTATTCTTCTTATGTGGGAGGAGATAACCACAGAAAAATCCCAACACCTCCGCATGGAGTTGCGGTGGAAATGCAGCGATCGGTAAACAACACGAGCGGATGAGGGCGGAGGAATCTTTCACTGAGACATTCAGGGAACGTTCACCTGATTCCACAACAGGCTGAACCGCCTCGGCGGGACGCAAGAAATCTCACAAATAAAGCACGCAACATTCACCTTCGTCATTTAACACGAGGCGCATCCATATATTCCAACAGATTAACATAATAACCCAGGCGTGGAAATTCACAGGTAAATTAACTTTTTGTCAGCAGCGGCACATTCCGTGCACTCTTAGGACGTTAAAATTAAATTTGCATCACTTGCGTCCACAACACACCCTGTTTGACGGTAGTTTTAAGATGGCAGAGGCGCCGTACGAGTATGACAACATTAAAATGTGAGAAGCAAACAGAGTCAGGAAATCACAAGCCCCAGAAGCTGAGAAGGAAACAAGCTCAAATGCCTGCCGAAGCGTTCGCTTTCTTCCTGTTCCTCTTTTTTTTTTTGCTTCCTTATAATTTTCTCTGGTGGCATGAAGCCAGTCTTTTGCACTCCACACTCCCTCGATGTGTTGCTTAAACACTGCCCTCCCTCCATTTATTCCTCATTCTGCCCTCATCCAAAAAAGTATGTGTATGAGAAGACACCACTAATCTGTCTTCTCTTGCTTTTCTGCTGAATAGATTTTCCTGTGGAAGATATGTGCGGCATCTGAAGTATTTGCCTCTCAGACTCTTTTCAGTCTGCGCAGTTTAAGCGCTGATCAATTCAGTGGCTTTAGTAGCTAAGCAATCTCTCTCTGTCTCCTTTTATTTTTCTTTCTCCTTTCTTGTCTCTGATCATTTAAGCGGGTACTCGTTTGTCTTTGCATGAGCACGCTTGCCTTCAAAGAGAATATAAAATTTGCTGAGGAGACATTTAACTGTTGGAGGAAGGTTAAGGAATTACACAGACCCTAGCTGTTTTATGCTGTCAGATTTAAAAGCTTAAAAGCTACCCTGTAATGCTGTTTTTTTGAACATTAGAGCCACTGCGGCTCAATGTTATTTGAATTTCCTGCAAATTAAAAACTGAGTCATTAAATCCTACATTTAGTTGATTATGGAATAACTAAAACTTTTGATAATTTTTTTTTAAATCGATGCCAACTATTTGAAAATCATTGCATGTTCTTGCCTAATCCACAAATATGCATTCAGTAATGCATATGTATCAAAGTAAAGAAACAAAAACTGGAGAAAATATAAACTTGAGTACAATCGCTGTGATTTAGTTAGGAGGTTGTTCATGGTTAAGGAAAAAAAAAAGGGGGGGGGGTTCAGGCCCATCTGAAAAGGTCACTGTGCTCCCTCGGCTGAATTCTGCCGACACACTTTCAAAGCTGTAAGTGAAATTAAATCCTACAATTTGGTAATGAAAAGGTTGTACACCCACATCACAGATATCGCAGTAACAACCAAGCGCTGGGAGCTTAGTGCACCTGCAGCAAACGCCGCAGCGACCGAGAAGGACTGAATTTGGAGTACACACCCCTCATTTAAAGCCTGATCAAAAACTGCACACAAACAGAAATGTGTTGACAAGATTTTGTGCTCACACTCTGTGACTCCCTACTGTTCTGATGTGTGTGTCTTTATGTCTCTTATTTTGTAAACTATGCTACCAAAAACAGATATTTTTGCACTTCTGTATCTGAATGAGAATCAGATTTATTGACCAAGTACTCGTACACATACAAGGAATTGGGCTCCAGCTGTTTCTTTGCTCTCAGTGCACGCAACAACAGACAACACTGAAAACAACATAGCATAGAAAATAACAACACATGAAGCTTATTTATGGTGCAGAGTGTGAGTATACTGGAAAAAAGTTTGGATTAAATAAGGGACGGATAACTAGTTACTACATGTATGACCTCTTTACCTGCAATACATTTAAAACTCATCTCAAACGATGGCTAAAAGGGGATCAGATTAGTGATCGTTAATTTTACAAATAACATCAATCATCTTTAATGTTGTAAGTTTTTATATTTACTTGTTCTGTTTTTTTGCTATGAGATGTTATGCTGTAATTTGATGTATTTGTTGTCTGGACTACATTGTTTGACATTGTCTGACGGTCTGCTTAATTCCTTGTTTACTGTTTTTTGTCTGACCTGCCAGCGACTACAGATGAAAAGCAACCTTTTGGATAAATCTGGCATATTTACACTGATATGCTCATTAATATGCACGGCCCCTTTCAAATAAACAAATTCAAATGAAAAAAATATGCATATGATTGCACACGGGTTCACAATGTGGTTCAAAGTAGTTTGTTAATGCTTTTATGAATTTGTGTACCTGTAAAGGTGAACCATGCGGTTACGACTATACAGGATAGCCTCCTGTTGTGCTTGCATGCTTAAGCAAGTTATTATTAATTTGAAAAACCACACATCTTTCTTTGATTAGAATTTTGTGAACATATGTGACAACATCTGGCCAGAACCTTTCGAAGTGGAGTTTGCGTGTTGTCCGCGTGTCTGTGTGGATTTTCTCTGGGAACTTCCGACTTCCTCCCACAGTCCAAAGACACGTGCTCACCTGGTTAAAGTGTAATTCTAAATTGCCCATAGATATGTCTTTCTCTTGTACTAGCGCTGAGACAGATGCAACCTGTCCATCCAACTCTTGCCCTACAGGACAGGCTCCAGACCACAAGATGTATTTATTTATTTATTTATATCTGGAATAAAAATAGTTTTCAAGTGAGAAAGGTGAATTTTCAAGTCAAATGCTTCCTTGTCAAGCTTGGTTCCCTGAGCCAGCAAACATACAAATGCAATCAATAGGAATGTTTGAATTCTTTGAAGGAATAAGCTTTTTATGACAAAGCAAATCCGGCCATTTTGTAATGCGTCTAGATGAGAAACACTTATCTGCTTGGTGACATTTCTAATGAGGAAGTGAAGCAACTCCCTTCACACAGCTGACTTTCAGCCACTACTCTCTGAACTGCTGACAATAAAGGAGTTTGATAATAATTAACCAACTAGTCACCTGTGAAACAAACAACCTCCCACACATACTTTTCATAGGTGAGGTCAGCATTAGAGCTGAGCTCACGTTTTAAGCCACCTGACAGAGAACTGGAATAACGTGTTTGTGTGTGCGTGTGTGTGTGTGTGTGTGTGTGCAGTCAGACTATCCAGGCTATTTGAAGCCAATAATCTGCCTTTTGATCTCTGGCCTTCACTTTGCCACTTCTAAGCTGGTGTTTCTCCATCGGCCCACAGCTGACATGTAAATCTGGAAAGCAGTAGATGCACACACCAGAGCCAAAGTGACAACAAACAGAGTCATATATAATTCAAAATCCTTTAGATCTCATTAATCCAGTGAAGTGCTGCCACGCTTCGTATCGACAGCAGGAGTTAAGGCTCAAAATTCCCGTTCTTGGCAACCAGCAAGATCTACTCATCTGCAGAGACCTCGCAGCCATGACCTGGTCTGTAAGAAAGTTACTCACAATGTGTCTTTATAATAAGAACTGGCTCTGGCAGTAAGACAGCATCCAATTGGTCATGTGACAAAGACTGATGGTGGACCCAGACACGGGCTATTTATTGTTCTCTGTTCCACTAGTTCTCAGACATATACTCTGTTCCTCTGTGCTATTAAATTTTCTATGCTAACCTCTGCCCTTCTATCAATTCCATAATAGTCCTATTGCCCTCTATTCCTACTGCAAAGCCTCAGGCTTATGAGCCAAAATCAATCAGATTTTTTTTTTTTTTGCAGCCTATATACGACACTTTACTGCCTCATCGATCTAACAAATGAAAAAATATTTTAAAAACACAGCTTGGCAGCACAATGAAAAACACAGCAGAACATTGAGATAACAGTGAAGTGAAATTAGATGGTATGAAATTACTTTACGGCACATTTGTGTCACACACAAAAGGGTTGAATTGGAACAGCTGAGGAGGAGGTGGACAGTGTTGTGGTGTGTGGAAATTAAAGCATCTACGTGTCAGGTTCTTCTGAGTAACTGCTCGACTCTGAGCAGGGATTTAGACTACAAATACCACAACGAGATATTTTCTGGGTATACAGGCTATGGGATGAGAAGCTCTCCACTACTCCACAGGGCTCTGGGATTCACTGCCACGTCACGGTACAGGGGTGGTCTGGGCTTTACGTCACAGGAAGGGTGGGTGTGGATTACGCCGTCCAGACAGTCACCCACCTGCAGCAGTCCCCGGATAGAGAATAAGGTGACAGTGGCCCCGTTTTCTCTGACAAAGGGGATGGACAGCAGTCCAGATCGCTGTCTCCTTCCATATAGCACACTGGAGCTAGAAGTCCAACTGACGCAGCCACTCTCACCAATTTTGGAGATGCTGGTTGACCCGTTTCTTTTGAAGTAGGACTGGGCTGGTCTTCCTCAAACACATCGTCATCTCCCACTAAATCCTCAGAGGGCAAGCCTGACTCGCTACCTTCCAGCAGGGCACTGGAGGACTTGATGTGGAGGTGGGAGGCGTAGCTGCCCAGGTCTGAGCATTGCAGGCTGGCTGATGTAGAGGATCGAGAGAAGGGAAGGAGGAGACGAAGAAAATTGGAGCTTGGGGAGTTATGGGGGTGGTGGTGGGTGTTGGAATGAGGAGCGGTGAGGACACCGTGATCAGTTGGGAGACAACTGGCAGGCGCTATGCCCAACATGTACTTGTAGTTGTTGGTGAAGGAGGGAACGAGGTGGGGCTGGGCGCGCGTTGAGAAGCCAGGATTTGGGATCTGTTGTGTGGGCGTTGCAGCCAGCTTGCAGTTGAGTTTGTGAGCCCTTCGATCCAAGTCAGGAGGCTGAGCGGGCTCGAGCTTCAGCTCCAACTCTCCCTCAGAGCACGTGCGATCTATAAACTGCAGACCTCGGCAAAGACTGTCCACACGCTGGCCGACGTCATTCAGAGACACCGAAAACCTGAGCGAGTTGTTGGAACGGATGCTGACGGAGGACGGACGCAGCAGAGAGAGCCAGTCTCGCTGTTTGGCGTGTTTGGAAGCAGGTAGGACGTCTGTGCAGAGGGTGGTCACTGAAACATCTCCTGAACCCTGACAAGTTTTACCCTTAGAACTCAAAAGAACCACCGCTGTCTGCTTCTGAGTGTCCTGATCCTGACTGATGATGTGATTGTGCGTGTTTGTGTGTGAAAAAGGAGCACGCAACAGACAACAGCGGTAGAGGACAACAGGAAAAGGTAGGGGGAAAGACAAAAAAGAGAAATGGAAGAGACATCATGCATTTAAAAATAAAGGAGTTTGAAAAATAGGATATATAAACACCGGATGATTAATGTTACCGTTAACTCCATTTAGCAGCAGCTTGCAACTAAGGCTGCTCCCAGCAGTGACATTGTGCCACTCAGGGGTAAAAGTTAAGCCAACATCACCCACTGATAAGCAACTTCATCACTGATAGACTGATAAATAAAGTTCATTTACTGCACGCAGGTGTTCATATCAACCTGGACAAATATAATTTCTTGGCATGAATTCAGACTGAAAGGTACCTGCAGATGTCCTGGCTAGACGGGGAAACTGACGTCCTCGAGAAACTGCACGGAGCGTTGACTGAAGTCGGGCTTCCAGCCTGAGAAACAAAGCACACGCAGAACAAAAGGCAGTTTAGGACAGAGAGTACAGGCACGTGAACATGAAACCCTACAGTTAAATAAATACTGCATCAATCAACAGGCGATTGTTTTTTCCGTGGTGGCGGCCGTGGCTCCGCGTGGTGAGGAATTATCAGCGCCAGCGCCCATCAGCACATTTGTGTGATCTTTACACAAAGAGAGAAAGCATGTTGTGTACTGATGCACAAGATGATAGAGAGGGGAAAAACAATGCTGCCAGTTAATCTGTCTAGTTTAAGGTGAAATCTGCAAAAAAAGAAAAATAATATCAACAGGCGGCTGCGAAGAGAGAAGTGCTGATGAGACCGATCGAGAGTTAAGAAGAAGGAGGCGGCGAGCGAGGCACGGCTGGGGGACGTGAGGCTGCAGATTAATGCTCAGCTTCTACAGAGAATAATTTTTAAACACGTGCACTGCAGGTGCAAGGCTGTTAGAATGAAAACACCTTCAGCATCATCAAGGCTTTCACCAATATTTATTTTACAAACATATGAAGATTACTTTTTCCTCAGATTTTTTTTTATGACAACTTGGGTTTTACTTGCAAAATATTCTCTTATGTCTCACAGGATAATAAATCTAATTGATCAGATGATCATCCTGGTAGATCATTCAACTATTTTAGTGCACTTAACCAATTCAGGTGTATGAGACGAGTTGAAGCCTTTCCCAGGAGTCATAGGGGGACACCAAGGACAGGTCGCCGGCTTGGCTAATTCACAAATCATTCATAATTCACACCCAGGGTCAATTTAGAATCACAAATTATTTACTACATCATATTTTATTATTATGTAGCGTCACTTGGGTGTTCCAAAAACGTTCACTTAGATGAGTTCACACAGACACAAACTGTGTGGCTCCTTTTAAATAAGTAGAACTGCTCTCAATCATTTCGTTGTATCAGACCACACTGAAGCCTTTGAAACCCTCTTTTTCACCTCTGTTGTTTTTAAGCTTCACATTCAACATAAATGTGATCTTTTCATCCTACTTTCAACCAGAACAGGATTGAGTATATTCCCTCAAATACAGATAATATTCCCTAAAGTCTCCCATATTGACAGGTTCAGACCGGATACATAACAAATGAGATCAGACAGTGTTTGGGTTGCTAACATAAAGACATGGGGGGGAGGGCCTGGTAATTTCAGCAAGAAACTAATTACCTATTGATTTAATTTCTAACTAAAGGAAAGTTTATAGCTCACGGCCGGACACCAATCAATAGAAAATTCAATTTCCAGCCATGCCCTTTCATCCTGTTTATCTGTCTGTGCATGAGCAGCACCGCTTATTTTTCCCCACTTGCACACAAAAGCACTTAAACACGCTGTCCTCCTGTTTGTAATTTACTTAAATCTTTTATTTCCTCTGTTTCTTGTTTAATTTGACTCTTATTTTAAACAGCTCGTGTTCAAGGTCACCGTTTGGTGCTCTGGCAGCAGTCTGGCCAATAAATGTAAAATGAAAAGACAGAAGTGGATGAGAGACAACAATTAAAGCGTTATTATTTAGCAGACAGTACCACAATAAACTACAAAAACCGAAAGCTACTCAAATGAAACTCAAGAAACGCCGAGTTTACCTGAAGCATCGTGGGAAATACGAATATGGGCTGACCAATGAAGCAGATAGGGATCTTTATTAGTTACGTTCTGTGCAACTCGGCAAATAGATAACTCACTGCGTCTTTGAGCGTTCAGACAATAACGTAGTTGAGGTAATAATGATTAACTTCCCGTTAAAACCCTGCATGACTCCATAGTCCTATTAAACAGCTGCTCTTTCTTAACAGCTCTCTCTTGTGAGGACCTGCTTTGATGAGTAAATAACTGCCTCCGTTTAACATATAACAAAAAACGCTGGAGGCAATGATACTTCAATAACTGCTGAAAACTGGTTTTTGGCACCACCGACAGTTGTCGCACTTTGAAACCTCTAAACTGTGAAAGGAAGCAGATTCGCGCTTAAACGTATCCATTCAGTTATGGTTCTCTGACTCTGATGTGCTAATTAGATATAATCCAGCCTCACTTCACATTCACCCTAATGAACACCTGTTTATTTTATTGTGAGTGCTGAAAAAAACTCATATTATTATAATAACCACTAATTTAACCTCTCTCCTCAAGCACCACCGCCCTCCACGCACTCTCACGCCACGCATAAATTATTCACTTTTGTATTTGTTGCACTCTCTCTTATCCCTGAAACACCTTATTACTCGCATGTCATTACCTCTGCCTCCTTCCTTCTTCGATAGCCTTAACCTGCACAGACGTAGCCATTGGGGCCTTTTCAAGTAGAACCTTTAAAATCTAACAGGAGCAATGAATCACTGGCTCCCATTGAGAAACTCCTAACGAAGCTGGCAAGAATCAAAAGTTCACTGTTGACCTTTAAAACTGTACAAACCTAACCCGAGGTGTCAAAGTTTGTAACCAAAAAAATACGGGTAGTCTAATCTGAAGCTTAACAATTATTAACATATCAATTTGATCATGAGTGAGGTTTTTGTTTATTGTGACGCACAATATGCAGTTCAGACCAGTTAAACTTGAAATGTTTTGTCAAACTTTGATTTCCCAGGACAAAAATGAACTTTACCGAAAGTGTTTGACATTTTGGAAAATAAGTTTATTATCTTTTTTGCCCGTGGTTCAGATGAGAAGATCGATACAATTATAAAAGGTCTGCGCGTTATACGTGAAGCTGCAGCCAGCAGGTGATTAACTCGGCCTCGGCTTTTGTTTATAACCTTCGTGGAGGTTAATCATAAAACTGATGAATATTACAGCTGAGATACGTTCTCATGCAGCCCTGCGCAAACATTTGATAAAATCTATTTTTAATCAAGAGCTTCTTTAATCCATCTACAACGACCGCAGTTTATACTTCTATAGTTTTCTCTGGCTCACTCACTCGCTTCTTCGTGGCTGTTGCAAGGTCATGCTGCTAATATAAAGTGGGGCCTCCAGCTGTGCAATTTATATCCCAGCAATATACAATACACTTATGTGTCATTACATGCAGTGCGCTGATACCCACAAAGCTGAATACGCTGATGGGTTTGTGCTGTGCCGCAAATGCTTGCGTATCCAACCACCACCATCAGATATAAGAAACCTCAAACACGAGATGAGTAGCTTAGTTACATTAATCATACACACGCATACTAAATAATCACCAAAGTATGACGCCAAAGCAATCCTCCCTAAAATCTAATGCTGTCAGATTTGGTGTTATTTTTATTTTTTTGAGAAGCTACAAACTCATTAGAGCTTTAATAAGGGTGATTTGGTAGCAGCAGGTTATGCAGGAGGCAGCAGGAAAGCTGATGGACTTGATTGGCCAATCATTTTTCTGGCACTCGAGACTATCTTAAATCTTGCCTATCCATCTGTTTCAATGGGCCCTCATGTGAGCTTGCAAAAAAATGGCTTCAAAGTGGCAGCACCAAGCTCTGAAAACGAGAGAATACACTCCGTTTTAAATTGAATATCACCATCCCTGCCTTTGTTTACTATAAATGACTTGTGATGAAGGAGAAACTACCCACTCACTCACACCACAGTTATCATCTCGTGCCGTATTAATGCTGTACCAGTTGAAAGTAGATTTACTGCAGTGAGCAACAGAAGCATCCTCAGTGATCTAACCTGGGATGATGAGGCGTTTACTGTCAACATCAGACACCATCTCCCCGGCAACCCAGTCCCGGTTGATCAGACCCCAGTAGCAATTATCCAGGGATCTGCCTTCTTAATCCAAAGCCACCTTGTTTCTTTCTCTGAGGCTTCAGTAGCTCATCTAATTGACTTCCTCTAATCCTGTCCGACGATGCTCAGCAATGCAAAAGCTTTGCAGAGCAAATCCTACCTCCTTCAGCAGCTTTGCCTTTAGGATGGCTCACTTCTGGTACTCGGCACACGGCCTCTCTGCCAGTTCCAGCCTGCTCAATACCACATGCCAGTCACTGGCAGTGCTGAAGAGGCCAAATAAAACTTCAAACTGTAGATGAGGTTTCTCTCCAGCCCTTTGGTCTTTGGCTAATGGTGGCCCATGAGGGCTATGGGTACACTATTAGTGGTCATGATGAACAATAGTGTCCAGGAAGGAGTTCTTTCCAAAGCAAAGGGGACTGAAAGGTGTCTCACTCCTGCTGCAGACATGGAGGTTTGCTGGACTGACTAGGACATCATACACAGCTTGAACCAAGAACCTCAACCAGTCGCACTCTTGTTTCCACGTTAGACCATCAGGCAGACCTCACATCGATGCTAGTTTAATTTATGACACTAAGAAGTCAAATACTTCTGTTTCAAGCCATAATTGTGACCTAAATGTCAAAATAATTATGCTAACTAATACTGATAAATTCTGCTAACGCAGCTGTCTAATGACTTTTGAGACCAATTTTCCCTAAATAATGTTTTTGACTAATAAACAGAGATGGGCAGTAACGCGTTACAAGTAACGCGTTACTGTAATCTGATTACTTTTTTCAAGTAACGAGTAAAGTAAGGGATTACTATTGCAAAATCGGTAATTAGATTACCGTTACTTTCCCGTAGGAACGCTGCGTTACTGCGTTACTAAAACCGTGATTTTTTTTTGCGAGAATGTCTCATGACAGTGACGTAAGCAAGTGCGACGTTGGTGACAGCAGCTGTGTGCAGATCAACAATGGATAATATATCGAGTGCGGGAGAGAGTATGAGCGTGCAGCGTTTAAAGTGTGGAAGTACTGACCTTACTTTGAGTTTGATTCCATAAAAAGTGACAAAAACATTAGCGTCCATCGTGCGTGGGAAGAAAACTTCTTTTTACAGCGAAAAAACCCCCTAAACTTCCGAGCAAGCACCGAGTAGCTACGACGTGATGGGAAACTCACAGAGACACTCGCGCGGATTCTTCAACTGACCGCAGCACACCTACACCAGGGTAACCCTCCGCCTACCCTGCTCCTGCTTTACAGGTGAAAATAGAGCAACAGGACCGCTGAGTCTTTGACTTTATTTATTTTCTGCTGTGTTTTACTTGCATCTGTTTGAAAGAGTGAGTGAAAACACAAAAAATATTTTATTTTATGAGCTGGAATGTGTAGAAAATAGGTTTAAATGTTAAACTAATTTCTTCCAGTCAGAGAATGTTGCATATAATTAAATGTTTTGCTTGATGCATAAAGTTAAAAGATTAAAACTGATAAAACAAGTTAAAAAAAGAGACTTTTCCATTTGATTACATTTTGTATGATGGATTATGTAGAAAAAGTAGAATTGGGCTGAAAGATCTATCACTTTATCACCTCTTCAGGTTGTAAATCGTGTTTTTAAAAAGTAACTAAGTAACTAAGTAACTAAGTAATTAATTACTTTTGAAAATAAGTAATCAGTAAAGTAACGGGATTACTTTTTGGGGGGAGTAATCAGTAATTAATTACTGATTACTTTTTTCAAGTAACTTGACCAACACTGCTAATAAACCTGCACTTTGGGCTCCTTAGTGTGTACTTCTTTAGTGTGGCTGTGTGAAAGTACCTGCCAAAACGTTTTCACAACCGTGCCATGTCTAGATGACAACGTAAACATGTTTTTTAAACAAAACTGCTCAACATTTTTTTTGTTCCAGCTTCTGAAGCACAAGGAACTCTAAGAGCGCCGGGTTTTCCATGCAGACTAAAGCTTCCTGACGTGGTTTGTGGCAGTGAAGCACATGTAACGTGACATCTACACAGTGTGTGGAAATATGTAGATCAACTAGTAATGCAGCTTCATGTTTGTGCATCGGCTTTCTGTCAGACGAAAACTTCTGTTGTTTTTTTCCTTCTCATCGGTGCGGTTTTTTTTTTAAATCTTGATGGATGTTTTTTTAAGCATATCCCATCTCGCTGATAAATTCTCTTTGAGCATTCGACCTACGCATGCCTCCATCACTGCCGTTCGACACGCTGTTGGTTTTTTGGACTGTATGCAAGTGCATTTCCATAGCTTCTGTTTTGGTTGAGTTCCTATAATCCTTCTCTGTACGTAGCCTGAGAGCTAACAGATATAAATTATCATCATCAAACAGTCTTTGCATTAATTTATATTTATTTTTCAGGCCAAAAACACCCAAACCAAAAACAAGCAAGATTCAGTTAACTAGAAAGAAAAAAAGCTGAAGACTAAACCATCATAGAAATTATGATAGCAGGAGATCTAAACAGCAGACAACATGAGCCACTTCTGTGACAGCCTCTCAGATAAAGTTCATTTCCATTGCTGTTTATATTATTTGTGCCCACCCTCCACAGGTGTCATTTTACAGCATTCAGTCATTTTTCAGGGACCAGGCCCTGCTTCAGCAGAAACGCTCAGAAATAAGTAATGTGCCAGATTGAACACAAAAACTATGTGCTCATTTTTATCAAAATAGTAGCTTGGCTCAGTGCCTTGTTTTGACTTCGTGGTCTGCCAAGCTGAACAGACCAACAGAGAGGCTCTTCTAGTGATCAGAGGTGCAGATTCAGGTTGGATGTTGCAGCTGCAGAGCCTAAAACTCAAAAACTGCAGCAGCTTGAATTCTAGAGCACCACCAGATGTTTGGCCGACTATAAGCGGCAGCCCACTGAGCTGTGAGTCGCTGCTTTGTGTCTTTATGAGGACTGTAATACTATAATTCCTTCCCAAACAGTGTAGGAGGCATCACACAGCACCCTGGCACTGTGCTAAAGAGAGAAAGGGCTACAGCTAAGCCTCCTGACCTCACTGAGTGGAAAAATCAACTCACGCCAAATCAGGAGGCAATCCTCAGCCTACATCAGAAAAGCCCGTGTTTTTTCAGACAAGTTTATCACCGATAATGGTTAAATTTAACAAAGAAATGTTGATTATCTCCCCTCAACACTGCCTTTCTTTCACGATTCTCAGGCTCGGCTTGATGGAAGAAAGGACTCAATGAACAAACAAGCACCGGGGACAAGTGAGATGATGAGTTTATGGTCGTGGATACGCGTATACCTTCATATCCACGACCACACAGCTCAGCGCCCCTCAATGACAAGTTCACTGATGGAGGCAATATCACCTTTATGAAACAAATGAGCCCCCGGCCATATTTGGCTGCTTGTTTTCCTGTCATCGTATAAATCTCTCTCTCCCGGTGTGTGTATTCCTTGTGACAGGTATTCCAGGGGGAGCAACAGGATAGCTAGAAATAAGATTTATTTCTGAGTCATCTTCAGAAAAGCTGTTCGATTAAAGAAAACAGCAATAAATAAATAAATAAATAAATACTGGGAAAGCCAAAAAGGCCAAACGCATCCCTGCCAGGTTATCCGTGTAAAACGAGAGCAGGTGCTTTAAAAAAATGAACGAATGCTTTAGATGTTGTAGCATTCGGATTATTCTGGCTGTATGACTGTGTCGAGCTGGGGATGTTATGAAATATTCCTCTCAGGCCGATGCTGCGGTTATTTATACAGAGAGAAATCTTTTAAGTAGGTCAACAATCGAATACGAGCGCATTCATTTTTGATTTGGTCTGACTGGAGCTGATGCGATTCGGCTTGAATCCATGCCACGCGAAGCCGTTCAACATTTGTTTTGGCGTCCTTATTCTGAATGTGGCCGGAGCTCATGTGCAAATGAATGAAAACAATCAAGTGTCAGTGAAGACCCCCCCCAAAAAAACCCCAAAACAAAACAAAGACCCCTTCAGCAGTAAATAAGGTGACTCTTATCAGATGTACATTTCACCAAGATTCAGCTTTACAAACATAAATTAACTTGACCTACATTTGATATTTTTTCTGCAAAGAGGAACATTCGAGTCACTGCTGCAAATATGAACATCTTTCATCTCATGCTGTCATAACTGCAAAGCGTGGAAACTTGTAAATACACTGCATATATGCATAAAATCATCCTCTTCAAGCAGCTTCTAGGGAAAGTGGTCTCAGGGAGATGCCGTCTTAGTGAAAACACATTACCCACCTACAATAATCCACTGCTAAATCTTCTCACTTGGAGTCTCTGTCAAAAGATTATTGCACCATTTCTTTGTCTGCGATTCTCAAAACGGTCCACCGACTCAACCGGGCAACCTTTACAGTCATAATCTGACTCGCTCTCCAACTCTGAAGACTCCCAGCAGGCTTTTCCATCCAGAGAACAATTTATACCAACTTAATACCTGCCAGTCAAATGCATTTCCCTTTAGGAGCGAGTAGGAAACACCAGCTGCCAGACAGACCGGTGATTATTAATTAAATCTGTCAAAGTTAAGAGCTTTATTCAGACTTTATGTCTATCATTTCATTACAAACACATTTGTCAGAGGAATGGGGATCTATATAGGACATTCAATGACAATGGACTGCGTCTGCAACCTGATGAAATCCACCCCTCCATTTATGAATGAGATTTGTGTAGAACGCGAGTGACACTGCTCTCTCTCCACAGACACTGAATAAAATAATTACACTCCATTGAAGAAATAACCTGTTTCTCAAGTGTAAGATGAGATGAACACCACTCAGGTTGTTTCCTAACAGCTGGCTGGAGCGACATATTTAAAGAGCAGACAGGAGAGTGGTGTAACCCTGTCCTCCTAGAGTAATTAAGTGCATTTCCCATTTACTGCTTGTTTCTAGGCAAAGTGGTGCCAGTCTTAGTATCGTAACTTAGAAGCTATGAAAAGTCATGGGAAGATTAAAAACTTATCACACATGAAAACACCCAGATCAAAATTATTATATGATTATATAACTTTATAGTTTTTGCTTTGAGGATTGCAAAAAGTTTTGTTTGCACATACTCTAGGTACAACGTTCACAGACTTTGTACTCACTGCCGCTGCACTGATATAACAATCAACTGTAGCGCGCTATAAAGTCTGGACCTCCCGGATTTAACTAGAGAGCAAGAAGTCATTGTAACTAAGGCTAGGGTGCAAATTGGCTTCTTGGTGTAAAAATACATTTCCCTTTACACGGATTATCAATGGTCTGTTGTACTGCTAAAAAACGTGGCATTAATATATATTTTATATCAAGTTACACATGATATGTTGAATGTCTACAAGGTATGGCACATATAACAGATTTATTTGCCATCAAATGGGCATATTTTTGTAAATGTCAGCCAGTTGTTCCCCTGCAGACATGGAGTGGCACACTGCCTTAGAAAAACTGTATTTTTGTTACTATAATCGTTATCCTGCAAACGATCAGTGCATTTGTCTCTCGGGTGCAATACCTCTCATCTTGCTCATGTTTAAAGAGCGAGCACCTCATGGATCAAATGTTATTGCTGGAGCCTTCCCATGGTGACAGAATGACCCAGACATCTATTAGCACAAGTAAAGGTTTTATCCTCTAAGAGGCTCATGAGGGGACAAAAAGACATTTTCAATGCAGGCTGTAGCTTTACCTATGGGAGCCATGAAGCATAAAAGGAAAGAGAGAAAACGTAGAAAGACAGAAGTCTCAGAGGTTGATCAGAAAGGTGGCTCTGATTATGGCGATGTGATGAGAACGAGGCAGGTCATCTATCAGCTGCTTACACTCCTGTGCATGTCTACCTACTCTGTCAATCTCCACCTTCAAATACAGCTCACCTCACTGTCATCTTCTTGTCTACAAGTGTGCTCCCTTTTCTCTGTGATGGACCCAGGCTGTACATCTTCTATTCAAATTTTTCTCATTTGTATGTGCTTTGCTCACCTTTGATATATTGCTGGACCGGCTTGCTGAAGGACCCAGAGGCTTTTCATTCTGTAAAAGATAGAACGACAGCTCCAGTAAGTGAAAAACATTCAGAAACACAAAAATGCCATCCAGTCCATGCATGCACTCTGCATACTAAAATCAGACAACAAAGTGAAAAGCTGCCTGACAGAAATATGTGAAATGATAGCATTATCATGGTAATGTTAGCATTAGCAATATTTACACTGCTCACTGGGTTAGCTTAGTATGCTAACCTTTGACAATTTGTACTAAGCACGTCGTTCAGCATAAAACCTGAAGGTATCCGAATATTGTTAACTAAAAAGTTTTCAAAGGATACATAGGGCTGAAATGCTAAGTCCATCATTACTGCTTCCATAGGAATTAAGAGGGTATGTAGCAGCTAGGTGCTGCTAACTAACTGCATGTGATAATCAGTTCTGAATTCCTCCAAAAGTGCAGAAGTTCAGAAGTTTCCTAGTGAACATTCCAGCAAATTCTCCCAATTGTCAGACTACACAGCATTAAGAGAAATCGCAAAAATCCCAAAGAGCAAAATGTTAAATGTTATGTTCATGACAGTACAATAAGAAAAAAAATCAAAGTATAACTTGTTTGGAAGGTTTTGCATGTTTAAAGCCTCTTCTCTCTAAAAAGAACATAGCAGCATGGTGTAGGTTTGCAAAACTGCACCTGAACAAACCACAAGATTTCTGGAACAATGTCCTTTGGACAAAAACCAAAACCAAAGTAGAAATATTTAGGCGTAATGCACAGCACCATGACCAAAGACATCATAGCAACATGTTGAATGTGACCTGGGGACTGGAAGGCCCCCGGGTCACCATGAACTTCTCTATAAACCAAACTATTCTAGAGTCAAATGTGAGGCCATCTGTCCGGCAGCTAAACTTGGGTCAAACAGGAAAGCAGCAGCAAATCTACTACAGCACGACTGAAAAATAAAAGAAGCAGTGCTGCACAGATCCAGTAAGTCCAGATCTCAACCTCATTAAAATATTGTGGTGGGACCTTAAGAGAGCTCTAAAGAGAGAGAGCTGTACCTGCAAATCTTAAGGAGCTGAACCAACATGGAACAGAACAGTGAGCCAGAAGCCAGAAGATTATTGTTATTATTATTATTGGTAAAGGTGGTTGCACAGGCCACTGAATCATGGGGTGTACTTGTTTTTTCAGATGACTACATAAAGAAAATTTTCAAAAAGCTCTGTAACATGACTGTTGTTCAATCTGGGTGAACGCAGCAGACCAACAGAACAACACTACCGTTTCTACAGGCATGCTGCTGCTAGGGCGTCTTGAAAATAACCCCCCCCCAAATGTATGATAAAATAAATGAAAAAACTCAAATACGGAAGGCTCAAATAGGCCCGATTCTTGGTCCTTCTCAGTGTAATGCACTACATTTCTTAGTATCTCAAGGGCCTGCAAGCATGTGCTGTTTGGCATTTTAAGTTGGTAAATCTAGTTTCTCTGGCACAAGACAAAAGGAGGACAAGCCGATTGTATAACGCACCCATCCAAACTCCAAATCAAATTCAGTCACAATATTTGTATCATTACCCAGCGAGCAAAAACAGGCAAATATTTCCAGCGTTCAGCATAGTCAAGTTTTATAATGATCCTCGAGTCGCACTAAGTGTTCTCGGCTTGCATCAGAGACCGAGACAAACAGCCGCTGGGGCGCTGTGCTGCATTCAGTGCTGTTATTAAGGCTGGGCATGGTTCCTTAATGAGTAATCAATCATAGTTACATAACATCCAAGTTCACACCAGGTCTGACAGGGCTGTGTATGAGTTGGACACAAACAAATCTTTGCAAAGAGAAACCAGCTCTGTGGGGAGAGTTTTTCAAATTTATGAAGACATGAAAGTACGGCCCGATTAAACTGTTGAGGCGTAAAAATTGGCTATATTAGCCCCCGCTGAATTCTGCCTCCTCTTCCTGCACGCTGTAGACCACACATTGTGCGCTCAGAGACCCTTAAACAAGCCGATCCCCAGTGGTGATTAGTGCAACGTGACCAAAATGTAATGTGTCAATGAGTTAATTAGATAAACTGTTAACTCTTAACTCTCCTGCACTTATAGAACACATTTTAAAATGTGTTGCTTTACAGATGACTTCAGAGAGCTTTTCTCATTAATCTATTTATAGGATTCGGATTCGCTCAAAGACACTTCGGCATGTGGAGACAACATGAATCAAACCACCATATCTGCGGTTAGCTGACAATCCACTCACTCTCCTGTGAGTACCAATCATCCCTGACATTTAATACTGCTTTATTCACCTTCTTACCAAGTATGTTTTGTGCTTATGTTTGCTTAAGTGAAAAAATTTCTACTTGTTTCAAGTCGATTTTCTTCTCAGTAGCACTCTTGTTCAATTCTTTAAGAGTTTGTTTTAAGAACAAAAGTTAAGTTTGGAGGATTTTCTTTGAGAGAGAGGGAGATCCAAAGAAAAAAAAAAGCCAGAAAGTAATCACATCAAATAATTTACAACAACCACTTTCTTGCTGTTTAAGGCATTAAACAGCAAGGTAGCATCAGTCAGGGGACCCTTAAAATTAGAGTGACAAGAGAAAAGCGCTACACCTAAAATTTAATTTTTACTATTCATTTGGTGGATTTTTCTCCCACTAATTTAACCTCATAGGACCTGGCGTCCACATATGTGGACATCACATTTTGGGTTATTTAGACTAAAATACTCAATTTTGCTCTACATGGGCCTGATATCCACTTACGAGGACATTATACTGCTACTGTTCTATCAACATTTTAAACGAATGTCTTCATATGTAGCTCTCATTTTTCTTAAAAACAAAAATAAGGTAAAAAATTATTTGTTTTTACATTCATCGGGCCCCAATCAGCCCAAATATCAAAGAGAAATTAAAAATGCATGCTGTGGAAGAGTTCGGGTCTTAGGAGGTTAAAGAACATGGTGTATTTTTGAGTGTATTTAGGCCCCAGGGCCTTTTGGGAGTGCCTTCCCATTTTCCTACACACAGAAAAGCAGTATTTGTTTTTGGAGATATAAACACTGGGAACTTTTATTTTGCTAATAAGTATCAGCAGCCGAAGTGTTATCTCCACCATTTTTTGCCAAAACAAGCCTACACCCACACCGCACCACTAACAGACTCTACAATATGTTACAGTTTCTAATTACTTAAGTGCTTGACGTGTCCTAGCTGTGACTAGTTGCCATAGTGACTGAGGACCGTTGTATGTCCCGAGTCTCAATCACTTGCTGCATCTCCCCGCCTCCTTATATTTCCGTTCATGTAAACATAAGATAAAACACGAAGGATACTTGCAACACACCCACCACCTAACGCAGACCTTCCTTTCCTTCTCCCGTATTTTCCATGTTTATGTGGCAACTTGGATATCGTTTCTTAGCTAAAACTATGTGATTAAAATCTCTTAACTAGTAGAGTTTGGACAATGCACTCATATGCAGGTGTAAAAATTCCTGACCTTTAAAGTATTGTCCTACTGTCTTGTGGTCTTTTGTGGAGCAAAGTGCTGCAGCAGCAGTGAACGCAACTGAAGAGGAGGCAGCGTTGACATCTCGTGTCATTGTTTGTTGACTCAAGCGTCAAAGTTGCGGTGATTATCTCCAATCTCAAAATGCTTTTATCTCAAGTTTAAATGGGAACTCCTCCAGTATGATGCACTTCCTGTTTTATATTGCCACATAACTTGAAGCACTTGACACACAACAAAAAGTGCAGCGATTACATGAAAACATGGTGAAAAATGAAAAAACATCTAATTACAAAAATGTACTTTTGCAGATCTAAATGCATGAAGAACCAAGATGGTCTCTTGCTGTGCTAGTGGATTAAGGTGAAGCAGTTCCTCCCCATTTCCATGTCATTACTTCTTCAGTGCATTCAACACAATGGCACAAAATGGCAAATACAGCTCTCAATGGGCGCAATTTGTTCAGCAAATCAATTGTCAAATAGTCGAGGAGCATAAAAATTCATTTTTTCCTTCCAGGAGATGACAGCGAGGGATAAAGGGAACAGAAGACTAAAAGAACAAATTGATGATCCTTGCCCTTAATCCTTCCTTCTTGGTTAAAAAAAAGCAGGAGAAAGCAATAACAAGAGCACATCCCCAGACTGAGGGGTTCTGGAAATAACAAGGCCACAAATGGACTCATGGCTTTTATAGACAGCAGTGATTAGAGCAGACAAGCTGAATACAGATGACAAAAGAAGAGACGGGAAATACATCTTCATTTGTCGTCTCGTTTAAGCACAGGTTACAGTTAAAACCCCGCACTGCCTAACTGTCTTTCCTACAGTACAAGGTCTGCGAGTCACCTTCACTGCCACGTCTGTAGACTATAAAGGGTCTGCTTCTCTAAGCTCATGCATAATTCTGATAAAGGAGAGCTCAGGTTTCACAGTCCACTGTGCCTGTCCTTCTCCACCTCCTCTGTGGGTCTGTTAGCAGCTCCAGTCTTTGATAACACAACTTTCATACTGGACTCTGAAGACTCTGGCTTGTAATAGAAGAAGCTTAAGAGAGTACAGAGGAGGAGAGGTCATATTCGGGGGGATCACTGTGTTTTTCAAGGGTCTGTTCTTAGCCCACAGAGAGAAGGGCTCAGCTCACTTTTATGGAAGAATCTCAAGATGATAAGACTTGTGAATTTAACCCAGACTCTCTCCAAGTTCCTTTCATCACCAGAAGCCATTTGAACTTGTCAAAGATTGTTTCTTTGTTCAGTTTTCCACCAAAAAAAAAAAAAAAAAAATCACTCATCAACAATTTGTTTAGATCATCATTATATACCTCTATTTTTTAGTAGGGCAAACAAACGTAATATGAAACATTTAGCCTCGTTAATCACATTACAGGTTTTGAAACTGAAATTGCGATCTATACTTAAAACCTAGAAATGAACCAAATTGTCGATTAGAAACATCAGCAACAACTTGCAGCCAGTTTTTACAAAAGTCAGTTTTTGAGAGCCTGCAGCTAACTCATTTTCAAGC